ATTAAGATCATTAGTATTGAAAGATGAAAACCATGATACTATTACTCGAGAAGATAAGCCCACTTGACGATCCAATTTCGACCACGTTTGCGCATGACGTCACCCGATGACAACAATCCAGCTCGTGGGCATGGAAAAGCATTAAGCTACAGCGGTTTTAATCAATATTTTATGTTTATTTATTATAATATCGATATATTATTTTTATAATATTGATACATATATTATATTTTTTGGCTTGCCTAATCATCTTAAAATGTCTCAAAACGTGTAAAAAAAGTATTATGAGCAAAAAAGAAAATTTCTGTCTATCGGTATTCACCATAACTTTTAAAGGAATTGCGCTGTAGATAGGTGTTATTCCATTAGGGGTCGGATTGGAATATTTTTGAGTAAAATTGGTTAAGGGGAAGGGGGTGAAATGTCGGGGAAAATGATAAAAAATTGCAATTTTTCGTAAAAAATCGAGTAATATGTCGTTATATAGGTTTTTGGCTATGAACATTTTGATTTTATTATCCGTTTAATATTTTAATAGATAATTAGAAAAAGAGTAAAAAGGGGAGGGGTAAAAATTTAAAATATTTAAAAAATCGAGTTTTCTCGTACTATTTTAATTTTAAAATTCGTTTAGTGATTTAATAAAAACATTACAGGTAGGGGTAAAAAGAGGAGGGGGTAAAAAGTCAAAATATTTGAATAAATCTTATTTTAGAGCTTTTAAAGTATAGACATTTTCATTTTAGAATCAATTTAATATTTTTATAAAAATTACGGATGAATGTAAAAAAGGAGGGGTAAAAATTAAAAATGTTTGGATAAACAAGAAATAAATCGTCTTAAAAGTTAAACATCTATAGAAATTTTGAAGTATTGATTCAATTTACAGCAGTATGTTTTTGGTTGTTATTGTTTGAACAACCCACCACTGCACAGTATACCATAGTAAATGTTTAAAACAATGTTTTTAAATATAACATATAAAAAGCTTTACGCACGTTTACTTCTAAAACCCAACAAACCAATAAAACAAAATTAAATAATCAATAATACACGCAAAACCGCTTTGCGCCGTATAGAACTGGCTGTTGCCGAGTCGGGTAGTCTCCCAGTGACGTCAGGCGTGCGAGAGAGATGGGCTGATCGCATGCGCGTGGGTTTATCTTCTCGAGTAATAGTATCATGGATGAAAACAATAAATTGAAGAGGCGAAACTTCGTAGACGTTAAAAGTTCACAGGTAAAACCATTGCCTAAAATAAATGCGAGCAATCAAAAAGATCTTGACTATTTTTTAACAAACAAAAATAACCACTGAAATGAATATAATGATGGTAGTTCAAATGATACTGTAGAGAATAATATCTCTAAAGACCTACCTAGATCTATAATTCAGAGTGAAATTAGTGGTGATCAAAATTGAAATTCGTATACAACCAGATCAGGTAGGGTTTCAAAGGCACCAGTTAAAATGGATGTGTAACGATGTTTATTCTGTTTATTGTTAAGGAGGGAGATGTCAGTTATATCAATACGAAAGATTGCCTAAGATGACTGCTCCCTTCTCACTAAAGGTGACACTTTATGTGCCAGAGTCATCGTCCGACTTGCCAGGTTGATGGCAAAGCACACATCAAGCCTAACGCTGTTAAGAGTTAATAAAACAATTAATTGAGGGGCCCAGAAGTAAAAGGGTTCAAGTGCACTTTTTAAAAAAACGGTCTAAGTGCAGATTATCACACCTAAAGTAGACCTTTACTTAGAGGTAAAATGCTTCAAGTGTATTTTACGTTCCCTGGCGACATCTCGTGTAGACTAGAAAAACGTATCAAAATATTAACCAATAAAGTCTGTGGTAAAATGATTCAAGTGCACATGAACCGTTTTACTTCCAGAGATGTCTGTAGATGTCGGCTATTTTTAAAATGATTCAAGTACACATGAACCGTTTTACTTCTAGAGATGTCTGTAGATGCCAGATATTTTTAATGTTTCACGTGTGTTAATGTGTTTTCGCAGGTACTTTTGTTAGTTCAAAACACATATTTTGCAGTGTTGATAGTGTTACATTGATAAGCAAAATGAGTACTGACTGGGAAAGTGATGGTAAGTACATTAATTTCGTAGAAAAGATTAAAATGTAAAATAACTTTAGGATTAATCAAAAGTTGGGTTAGATAATTTTTATTTTGTTTTTACAGAAGCTGATGCATTCCAGACTGATGAGGATTCAGACTATGTTCCTGACATAGAAGTAGAAGAAGTTGAAGAAGTTGAAGTAGTAGTACCAGACGATGAACATGAAAATGAATATATACATGTCACTCCGACAAAAACTAGACAAAGAAAACGGCGCCCGAAAGAGTGGAAAGCTAACAGTGCTAAAAGATTGCGGACAGAAGGAAAGGAGTATATTGGAAGGAAAAATAGGGTACAGAAAGCAAAAGAACTAAAAGAATATCCTCACGTTTGTAGATATCAGTGCAATGACAATATTAGTGAGGCCCAAAGGCAAGAGCTGTTTAGAAATTTTTATGAACTTCCTTCCTACGACCTGCAAACGGCTTTTTTATCTTCCTGCATTAAAAAAATCCCACCTAAAAGACATACAGTCGCAGCTGTTGCAAATAAAAGCTATAGCACTGTTATAACCTTAGTGGGAAAACGAGTTTGTAAACAATTTTTTTACGCACTTTTAACATTTCTGTGCGACGATTTCAAACTGTTTGCAAAAAAACTACAGATCTTAACATGACCGAACCTGACAAGCGTGGCAAAAAGGAACCTCCAAATAAAATAAAGGAATCATCCAAAAATTTCGTCATTTCCCACATAAATATGTTCCCGAAATATAGTAGCCACTATTCTAGAAAAGACAATCTAAACGCAAAGTATATCTCAGGCGAATTGAGTATAAGTAAGATGTACAAATTATATGAGGAGTTTTGTATTGAAAAACAAGAGTTACCAGTAAAAGAGTCCTATTATAGGTTTATTTTCAATACGGAATTTAATTTAAGGTATCACAAGCCTTATAGTGACACTTGCAGTCGTTGTGACAATTTACAAAATCTAGTAAAACACTCCACAAATGAAGACGAGATTACAAATGCCAAGCGAGACCTCGAGCTACACCAAAGGAAAGCCAAGAAAGCAACAGACGCCAAGAAAGCTGATATTGCTGAAAACAAAAACTCCAAAAATACTGCTGTAATTTGTTTTGATTTGCAACAGGCATTGCCAACGCCGCTGTTAACAACTTCTAAAGTCTTCTACCTCCGTCAACTATCGACATATAATTTCTGTGTCTTTGACTTACTGACTGGAAAAAAACATATGTTTATATGGAACGAAACTGTTGCATCCAGGGGTTCGCAGGAGATAGGCTCATGCCTAATAAAATTTATTCGAAGTCTTCCATCAACAGTAACAAAGATTGTTGCATACAGTGATTCGTGTGGGGGACAGAATAAGAATAAGAACATTTCTAAACTATTTTCTTTTATTGTTCAAGCCACAAATATAACTGAGATTCACCACAAGTTCCTTGAACCCGGTCACACCTATATGGAGTGTGACCGTAGTTTTGGCTTAATTGAGAAGAAAAAGAGGCAAATTCCTCAAGTTTTTATCCCAGCAGATTGGGAGACTGTAATAAGAGGCACATCTGCCAAATTTGTTGTATATGAAATGAACAAAGACGATTTTTTTTCTTTTTCGCCCTTTAATGAAATAATGAAAGATCCTGAAAAAGATAGTGACGGTCACCCCTTAAAATGGAGGGAAATTTGTTGGTTCGCTTATTACAAAACTGAACGACTATCGTTTAAATACAAAAGAACATTAAACATTGATGTAGATTTCTTCAGTTGTAAGATGCCAACTTTGCAAGTTGGACGTCCGTCTTTTAATTTTTCAATATTGAAGCCTTTGAACAAAACTTCAATAAAAATTAAATCTGCCAAGTACAAAAATTTGTTAACCTTAATGGATTACATTCCGCCAAGACACCACACCTTTTACGAAGGAATAAAGCACGATGGAGGAGAGGCATCAGAAAAAAAGGAAAAAAGAAACAAAGCCAAAAAGAGGAAGAAAGCGATGAAGATAACAACTTAATAGATTCTGATTACAAATAATAAATTTTGTGTTTTGTTTTTAGAAATAAGTTTAAGTTTAATGCAGTAATTGCACTTGAATCATTTCACCACCAAAAAATTTTTACCATGTGTAATGATTCAAGTGCATTTTTGCAAAAAAAACAAAAAAATTGAAAGTTAAAAAAAATCTTTGTTCTTTGTAATGTTTGTTTGTCTTTAAATAAAACTAAAATATTTACATAGTTTCCTAAACTTATTCCTGGAATTTTGAAATTTAAGTTAACTTTAAAGCCATTTATCTCGGAACTACCAAAACTGCACTTAAACCCTTTTACTTCTGGGCCCCTCAATTGCAGTTTTAATCAATATTCACATCACAGTGTACAACAAACTACTGATTTATAAACAAATCCTAAAACCAATCTGGATTTATGGCCTCCGCTATGGGGATGTGCCAGCAAGAGTAATATTAAAATGATACACCAATCTGGATTTATGGCATCAGCTATGGGGATGTGCCAGCAAGAGTAATATTAACATGATACAAGTTTTTTAAAATAAAATCCTAAGATGCAATGTTGATGCATCTTAGTTCTATCGAAAAGAAAGATAATTAGATAAATATTAAAAGCGCTGCAATTACTGGACAACTCTACACTCAACAAAGGCTCAAAAGGAAGAAACCATTTGAGCTAGTGCAGTGAACTTTAATGTTAGGGCTAGTGTTAAACAGTGTAATAAATCCTCACGCCAACTTGTGATGCTTTCCTATAGAAACAATTAAGACATCCCAATGGGGACTTCTTAGATAAGTAATTAGTTTATAAGATTTTTAGATTAAAATTGTAGGTTAGTCAATAATGACTAGTAACAATACTCTAAGAAAAAAAAATATATTTACCTTTGTAACTTCTTCTGCCTCTCGGAGACCTCATTACAATCTCATCTGGTTCTTTTATTTCTTCACTATTTTCAATTACAATTTCTTTTGGTGCTTCTTTAACCTCGTTTGTGCTCGGAGTTGTAACAACCGTTTCAGTTTTTTCATCTTCGACAGAGTTATCGGGAGAATAAAATACTTCATCGCTTATCTCGTCATCTTCGACAGTCGACGCTACGGCGCTGATATCTTTGGAAGATAAAGACGATCTGAGGTGATTCAAGTCTTCAGAAGAAGTATCATGTTGTTGGCCACTTTGGTCGCTGAGTGATGAAAAGAAACGAGTGGTTTTCTCGAATTGGACGTGCTGGTGCTTGGGAGTATGAGAGATGGAGGCTCTAGATTGTAGCCGCAAACTAGTAGTCTAATAATAAAAATAAATAAGTTAGATAAATTGACACGAAAAAATTCATTTTTCAAACGTACATGGAACAAAGGGTCCGTACAAGCTTCGTAATCATTAGTTTCTTCTGAGAATGTAGTATCTGTAATGCTGTCTCGATTTTGAACGAGGTTTCTGACCTAAAGAAAAAAATTGCTATTTTTAAACCACCTATAACCTTACAAATAAAATAAAACTTACTTTTAGAATGCTTTGGAGAGTACCAATACAATTTTGAGGCGTGTAATCCTGTTGTAGAGACAGTTTTCTATTAACGATTGACATCCGCGTAATTTGTTGAGCGTTCGTTTTTAGTGGTGAATTCAATTCAGCCGTGGATAATCTGGGGCTCAGCCTCATTCTTTTACAAGGCGACGGTGCCGAAATTTCGTCTACGTCATTGTCGTCTAAGATTTTTGGGGTTATAACTGAATATGTTAATCTAAAAAGAAAAACAATCAGTGATAGATAATAAATAGAAAGGGCTAAAAATATCATGCTCTATAATGTATTATATATGCTGAAAAAGTAAAGGAGATAGTTACTGAAATAACAAATGAAGAAATCAAAATAAAAACTTTAGGAGTTGGAAAGAAAAACAAAAATGGTGCTGGTCCGCTAAAAGTTATTCTTCAGAATTCAGATGAAGTAATGACAATTATGAGAAACAGGAAACACATTAAAAAGGAAAGAAAAGTCTTCATAGACTTAGATATGACAAGCATGCAGATAAAAAGTTTGAATAAAGTAAAAGATAAATTAAATGAGAGAAGAGAAGAAGGAGAAGTTTTTATTAAATACGTGCGCGTAATTCCTCAAATTTCATGTAAGCTAAAAAACTATGATATTTCGAACTCTATTTCGGTGTATTATCATATCATAAACAAAAATATTAAACTTTAGTCAAACGGCACTATGTTCTGTATATGATGTTATAATAATTGTTGAAACGTGGTTAAATGAAATTTTAAAGATTCTGAATTACATTTGCATGACTTTGATATTTTTAGATTAGATAGGGACCTCGTGAGGACGGGAAAGTCGAGAGGATATTTTAATAGCTCCCAAAAGTAAGTTGTCCGCGAAAGCAGTCACAGTAATTCCAAGTTCTATTGAACATCTTTACATTAATTTGACTATTACTAACCAAAATGTCATTATTAGGGGGTTTATTTGCCTCCTTTGTCTGGCGAGGAAAAATTTATGGAATACGTCGGCGTCATTGAGAATATTTGTGATACTTATAGGAACAGTAAGCTTATCATTTGTGGTGATTATAATTTGCCTGCAGCCACCTGGTCTAATGATGAATTTTACTTAAAGTAAATTGCATTGATAATTTTAAAGCACTCATACTATCAAATGGTACTGGAATTCTATAATTTGTCTCAGATAAATACAATAGCAAACAGCAGAAATGTCTATATTGATCTTATATTTTCCACCTATAGATCCTCTTTTTAATAATAATATGCACCACACTGCTATTTCCTTTGATCTAAAACTAAATAATGACTCCAAACTAACATATGAGGAATATTTTTATGATTTCAAACGGGGAAACTATATAGGATTAAATGATTACTTAGCCCAAGTAAACTGGGATTTACTATTAAATAATATAAATGTTAATGAGGCTGTTTATCATTTTTACAGCATTCTTTATGAGGGTATAAATACATTTATTCCGGTCAAGAAATATAAACCATCAAATTTCCCACACTGGTCAGAACTTAAGTATTTAATTACTGAAAAAAAGAAAATACATAAACTGTACAAATCTTCAGGTGACCTTAAATATTACTATCATTTTGCACATCTTCGGGAAGAGTGTTCAAGACTCAGAAATATTTGTTTTAATGATTATATCTTAAAAACTGAGAAGAGTATTTTCTCAAACTCAACTTTCTTTTGAAAACGTCAATATTGAAAAAAAACTTTTATAAATTACCTTCATCTATGGTTTATAAAGATAACTTAGTGAATGACAACGATACTATAGTAAACTTTTTCGCAGAGTACTTTTCAACTGTTTATTCTCCTGAACAATTTAATCAAATTCCATAATATACATATGCGTGAAAGCGTAAATGTTAGTCGTTACACTGTTAATGTCCAGGAAATTATAGAAGCCTTTAAGAGAGCTTCAGAAAATTTTCTTATGGTCCTGATGGCATACCACTTTATGTGTTTTTACTCTTGCTAAAGCCATCAATTTAGGTTTAGAACAGGGCATATTTTCAGATTTTTGGAAACAGTTTTTTTGCACCTATCTACAAATCGGGTATGAGAAATATTATCACAAATTATCGTGCTGTGTGTCTACAATCTGAAATACCAAAACTTCTAGATTCCCTTATATCTAAAAAGTTGGCATGGGACACACGACATATAATTTAATTTCCAACAACATGGTTTCACATCTGGAAAATCTATTGCCTCCAATCTACTTTGTTATGAAAATAACATTCTGACAGCTTTTGAAAATAAACTTCGAGTTGACTCTATATATACGGATTTTACAAAAGCTTTCGATAGAGTTAATCAGGAATTGTTACTGTCAAAATTATTCGTGGTGTGTATAAGAGGGAGTGTATTTAGTTGACTACAAGAGTTATCTGTCGAACAGATCGCAATATGTTAGATATGCTGGGGCTCCATTTCATCGCTAATAAATGTGACATCAGGAGTTCCGCAGGGATTACATTTTGGACCAATTTTATTCAACTTGTTTTTTAAAGATGTGGTGGAAATCTTATCACTTGACATTTGCTGATGATCTCAAGATATTTAAAAAAATTAAAGATTTACTTGACGCCATTATATTACAACAAGATCTGAATAATTTGGTTCATTGGTGTGATTAATATGCTGGAATTGAATCATAACAAATGCTACCAAATTACATTCTCAAGAAACTCCAGCAACCCTACTTTTAATTATAGCATAAAAAATAAAAATCTTACTGTAACCAATGATATAAGAGATCTTGGTGTTAGGTTTGATTCTAAATTGAAATTTAAACAACATAATATATTAGAAATTACATCTAAGGCAAATAAAACGCTGGGCTTTATTATTAGAACATCTAGACATTTTTCAGCAGAGGTCTTAAAATTATCATATTGTTCATTAATTCGTAGTATCTTGGTGTATAATTCAGTAGTTTGGTCTCCACATTTTAACACTGACACGCATTTAATAGAAAGGGTCCAAAATTGATTTTTAAGCCTTTAGATTGGGAATTTAGAAAAATGGTTTTCACATCAATGAGATGCTGACTCGTTTAAATATTCAGTCCTTAAAAAATCAGAGAATAGAACTTGATTTGTGTTGTTTACACAAAATAGTTAGTGGTCACATTAATTGTCCTGACTTACTGGCTTCAATAGAATTTAAGATAAATGACAGAAGAACCCGTAACACTGAATTGTTTCATATTCCACTTCACTCTACCAGACAAACTATGGCAGGAATGAACCTATAACTAGACTTGAGAATTGTCAACAGCTATCAACATAATCTCGATATTTTCGGCTCAACTTTGTCACGATTTAAAGGTCGTCAGGAGCATTAACTTCACCTACTAAGTACTCATCTTTGATTTTGGTATACATCTTTTTAAATGTAAATTTCTTAACTAGCACAACTGTTTAACTGTTTTTTTTTTTAATTTATATTATGTTTTTCATAGGTTTTAAGTATATTTATGTAGCTCTATATTTAATTATGAATGTTAAGAATATTATTATTATTAAATTGGTTTATCCGTTAAATAAATAAAATAAAAAATAAATACTTAGAAGAACGTTTACCTTCTGTCGCTTTTGCTGATGGTGGGCGTTCTTATAAACGGTGTTTCTTCGGTTATCGATTTCTCGGTAAAACTGTTTGGGAAAGTATGCTTGGCTTTAGCCAACGCTGCATGGATTAAAGTAGATTTATATTGAACCTGTTCCTGCGTATTATGGACGAATACTGACATCGGTGCAGGTTTTTCAACTAAAATTTATAACAACCGTACTCATTAATTGTAGTCGAGAAGAATATAGCTATAGAAAGGAGAGCAGTAATTTAATATACAGAACATAGTATAGATTCATGAGTTAGACATTTTATTTTTACATAGTGCTTCAATGCTTATATCCAATTCTTCTGAAATATTTAACACACTTGATTGATCCAATAAAATTTTGACAAATTTAAAAAAATCAATAGGAAAGCACTGCAGGAATTCTGCCAAATGGATTATAAATAGGACTGGGCGATTATCAAAATAATTACGGACATAAAAGACAGAATACAGGAAAAAATTTACATACAGCCTCCTCAGCAATACAAACCCCACTGAATAGCCAAATCACTAGGCCGACTAGAAAACAACTTCAGTCGGACGGAAGACTGCTCGGTGACGTCATCGCCTGGTACCGAAACCAAGGCCAGTTTACCTAGGACTGGCCTAGGAATTGGTACACTGAGATCCGTGCAAAATTTTTCGCGAGCATACGTCAATTGTCATCTGTCACGGTGTGATACGAACTTAGTAAATATTTAGATTTTATTTTATCTTTACGCCAGATAAGTATCAACCCTACCGCAGGGAGTGTTCCGGGTTAATGTCGGAGCCCTCTGGGCCGATCAGAGCCGAGTACGAAACGGTTTACTCGAAAAGACTAAGAGAACGTATAAACTCTAAAAAACAACCCACGTTAAATGTGAACGTAGCTAGAAAACGAACTTCAAGCAACAGCCCGAAGATTCTAAAGGCCAAAAACCATCACCCCTACAAAACTGTAAGTACCAGAGAGAACACAGTAATAAGTACTAACTTGGGATCAGAAAACAAGTTACGAAGAGACCCCCTGTCAAAAATGTTTTCAAAAAAAAGCTTGGAGAAAACTGTTGAAGCTCCAGACGAAAGTGATTCAGACAAAATCGCCCACCAAACAAATAAAGACTGCCCAGGGGCAGTCTCTGAACTCGCCGAATGCACAACAAGCCGGAATAATCAAAATGAAAGCTGGTACGAAAGCCTGTTGAAAGACGAGGAAAGTATGGAGAAAACCCCGGCGGCCAGCGGCTACGTCGGCGGCACATTAAAAAGTATGGAGAAAACAAACAAACAAAAATGATCCCTCCGTTATAAATAAAAGTATGGAGAAAACTGATTGTCAAGAAACTGAAAATCTCAGAGCATTCTCGAAAAGTAAGGAGAAAGATGATCTCACCAGCGCTGAGAAACCAGAAAGCTCAGAGAAATCAGTCAGATATGTGAAAAGTATGGAGAAAAATGATGGTACAAATAAAGCAAACAAAAGTTCGGAGAAAACTATTAGTACCGATCCCAAAGACCACAGAGCACACTTACAAAGTATGGAGAAAGACGATTCTCACAACGCCGAGGAACTAGACAGCTCGGAGAAAAGTGATAGCGTCACTACAGATGGGACCGAGTCGTCCCCAGACAGCCTGGAAGTAAGTGACGGTGTAATACGTAGCGACTCACAAGAAAGTTTGGAGAAACTGAGAAGAGTGCTGGAGGATGAAGGTGAAGAATCCCAGAGTCCAAATATTTCAAACAACACCGTTTTAGAAATGGACGATTCCGAAAATATTGATAAAATCCCGACAGCGGTAAAAAAAGTCTCAACTTTTGGAAAGTATGGAGAAAACTTTGAGCTATACAACTCAGCCTACAAGACATTAGAAATGCCAAAAAACACTCAAATCAGAAAGTTTGACTTTGGACCAAATGCTCACACCTCCGGGGACGATAGTACCATCACCCCAGGAATATCCCCAGACAGGGGATTTGAATTTGGAGCATCAAACATATTTAAAGACCTCCAGGGGACCTCAAAACAGGACAAAAGCACACAACCAGTACATAATCTTACTCACGGGAGTGCGGACAAGAACCAGGCTGAGGGTGGATCGAGTAGCCCCCGGTTTGGTATTGCCCTCACTGCTAGTGTGTCAAGATCGAACACCTTAAAACCCCCCAAAAGCACAGGAGCAGTGCCTAAAAGTACCAGGACTAGGATACCAAGTGACCCTAGAATAAAAATACATGCGATGACCTCAGACATACCCCAAAGCGTAGCGCAGACCATTTTCTCCACCGGAAACCAGACATCGGAAGATGATCTAAATACTGCACAAGGTCACAAATATAGGGGTGAAATTCTCCCAACCTCCCCAAATAGCACGTTCAAACTCCGCAAACAAAGAGTTACCCCACCCCAAATGGACACTGATATCGATCCCCAGAATGACGCACCCTTTCAAACCCCCAAAAAATTCAGCTCGAATTTTGAACGGCTGATAAGGGAAAAATCAAAACAAACCCTAACAAAAACCAAAAACCGGTTTCAAGCATTAACCGACGACTCAGATTCGGACTATCAAGATGAAATAGCGAGAATTGTAAAAAGAAAAAGGACCTCAGCCAATAGAGGAAAAACCAGGAGTACAGAAAAGGAAGAGAAAGAACACGAGGAAACAATTGAAACCATACTGGCTGCCAACAAAGTCACAAAAACTGTCAAACTCACTGCGACAAAAGCTGTCAAACCCACTGCGGCACCCAAGAACGCCACTGCTGCAACTAAGAATAAAATCAGTATGCCCCCCATCGTGATAGAGGGAAAAACGGCCAGTCAAAACACGTTGATCAATAATATCAAACAGATAGCTAAAGGTAACTTCAGTATCAAGCATACCAATAACTCAACCATCCTGTTTATGGATGAAAAAACAGATCACGACAACATCGTTGCAAGTATGAGAGCGTAAAAACTCCCATACCACACATACACCACCAGGGAGGATAAAACCCACGCATTTGTCCTCAGAAGGCTGGCAAACGGGACCAAGATCGAGGACCTGGCAGTAGACTTACTCATAGAATATGAGATTAAAACAAAAGAGATTTTTAAAATGAATACCAAGAACAGACCCCTCTATCTAGTCGTCACAGACTCCACTATGACACTGGATTATTTAAATAAACATGTACGGAGAGTGCTATATACACGAGTAGTCTGGGAGCTACGAAAGTCAGTCAAATTAATAATCCAGTGCCATAATTGTCAGCAGTGGGGTCATGCGCCGGCAAATTGTGGAAAGCCATCCAAATGCGTTAAATGCGCGGGTGATCACCACACCCGAACATGCTTAAAAACCCGTGATACACCAGCAACATGTGTAAACTGCGGGGGTGATCACCCGGCAAATTATACGAAGTGTCAAAGCTACCTGGACAGACTAGAGAGGCTCGAGGAAAAGAAAGCGCTGAGACCAGTTCAGAAAAATTATGTCCCCGCCCCCTTACCGGTAACCAACCAATGGGAAGCCAGAAGAGCCAACCGAAGAGTCGAAGAATTCCCAGCCCTGCCTACTAGGCAACAGAGGTCGATTCCAAGGTCTAATACGCCAAATCCACTGCCCAGAGTGGCAGCTCCAAGACAAACTACTCAGGGTGCGGCCATGGACGATGTCTCATCCCTTAATGATGCCTTTGCCGAACTAAACAGCCTTGTAAATATAGGTGAGCTTGCTAGAGCGGTAAGACAATTAAACTCTCAAATACGACTTTGTAAGACAGGCCAAGAACTTATTGAGACTTATAACCACTTTATGGCTAACGTTGACAATAACTTCAACTTACGCAACTAAGGAACTAAGAGACAGTAGAGACAAACTTAAAATTTGCTTTTACAATGCAAACGGGATACGCAACAAAACCACACTTGTTCGCAGTTTCATTCTCAAACATAACTTTGACATCATGCTCATTACTGAAACACATTACGCACAGACTGACAAATACAAAGTAACTGGGTATCACATATATAGACAGGACAGACCTAACCAGAGCTGGGGCGGAGTAGCGTTATTGATAAAAAATGATCTAACCCACGCGCGCATTCCTAACATTAACATAACTCAGGAACATATTCTAGTCAAATCATATAATATTATTTTTGCAGGCTTATACAACCATCTCACTAATATATTTAGCAAACGAGAACTGGATGCCGTAATGTCATTGGGAAACAGAGTTATTATGTTCGGGGATCTCAATAGCAAGCATTACCACTGGGATGCAAACTGCATCACACCCAATAAAAGCGGGAGGAACTTGGATGAATTCGCCGAGAGCGAAGACTGCATAATACATTATCCGGAAGACCCTACATTCTTCCCATTTAGCGGGACCACGCCAAGCACACTTGACATAGCGATGACAAAAAACCTACCAAACGTTGACAATGTCAGAACCATCTCAACATTGACATCAGACCATGACCCTGTGTACTTGGAGATCAGATTCACAAATCGGATTCCAAGAACGCAGGGCCAGTATCACGATTACAAAAACACGAACTGGCACAACTACAGGACTGTACTAGACAACAACATAACAATTAACAACATCACAGACAATAACACACTAGACCAAGAATTCCAAAAATTCACAAATTCCATCTTATTAGCCAGGGACAGAACCACAAAAACACAAAAGTACAAACCAAACAAAGACAACCTACCTCAAGACATTACAGAATTAATAACACACAAAAACAGACTACGCAAAAGATGGCAAACACACAGACAAGCCGCCGACAGGGTCTCTCTCCTGGATCTAGGCAAAAACATCAATAAACAAATCAATGATTTCAGAAACAATAAATAGAAAGAGACTCTGGAGGCAATTAACGTACACGACAATTCAGTGTGGAAATTCGTGAGACGGTTTAAAAAGCCGTACTCGGGGCTTCCCACACTGAATTACAACGACACGGTGTGCTTGACTAACGAACAGAAAGGCAGAGCTCTCGGCGAATACTTTCAAAATAATTTCATGAATAATCAGGTCAATAACAACGTGCAAATAGAAATTGAAAACCTTTGCAGAGATATTCAAGAAATGGGGGTACAGGAAGTGCCCATAGAATCACTCACTTCCCCTAAGGAAGTGGCTGAAGCTATAAAGAGATCCCCTAACAAAAGAGCACCGGGTCCTGATGGCATACCTAACATACTATTAAAAAATCTTAGTAAAAAAGCAATAGTGCAGCTGCACTACCTCATTAGTGCAATCTTTAAACTACAATATTACCCCAAATCCCAGAAAACAGCCAACATCATACCTATTTTAAAAAACGGGAAGGCGAAAGGCCAAGTAGAAAGCTACCGCCCCATCTCCCTACGCAGACATGCATGGGCAAGCATCCATAGAAACAATCAAAGATTTTATACTCAGACTCGCTGAGAAATTCTATAGGAATTGTCTTCCTCCAGAGGTAAAGGAAGACATATTAATGATACACGAAGGGGATGGCATTAACAGAAAACATGGATGCTTGCACCAGAATCTACAAATATACAGACACGACGTGGAATGAGCGTTGCTATTAACCTACCCACAGCAGCGAGCATTCGACTAAAAGCCAAATAGATACGACCACTAGTTATTAACGGTGGTCGGACGGAAGACTGCACGGTGACGTCACGGACTGGACTGAAATCGAGGCTTGCCAAGATCTCGGAACAGAAAGTAAGCGGAACTGTGCAGTCTCGCTATTCGGCACTGCACACGAAAGACGAATTGTGACGCACACTTCTACAATGACAAACCTGTTTTTTTGCAAGTAGTTTTTCAGGGAAGACACCGACATAATTAAAATCAAACAAAACTATAGACACTACTCCACTATCGATCTAGCATGCTAACCACACTAAATACATAATGCTTATTAAAGCAAGGAGGTATTTCAAATCAGCCAAATTTAAATTTAACTAGACATCAGTAAGGGTGTGACATCGGCCATGGCCTATCGCCATGGGCCAGTTTGGGTTGGAGCTTCCAGGGTAAACAGGCTAGAAGCAAGCCCGAACAAATGTCATATATTTATTATGTATATAGTTAAAAATATTTTGTAAATATCTGTATATAAATAAAAGACTTTTGAATTGAAATTGAAACCAAGGCCAGTTTACCTAGAGCTCGTCTAGGAGTAAGTTCATACAACCACGTATAATTCCACGCGAGAGTGTATAAGCAACCAACCCACGTAAAGTTAACTTTTACAACGGTCACTTTGTGATTTTTCCCATAATTTTTTCTTATTTTTCATTGCGCCAGGTAGTATTACATAACCCGGGAGTGTTCCGGACTTGATGTCAGAGCCCTCTGAGCCATCAAAACAAGTGTACGAAACACTTTATGCTAAAAGACTCCGTCAACGGATAAACACACAAAATCGTCGGCAAATGCAGTGAGTTCAAGTCGTAATCGGTCCCCATCCATCACCCCCAAGTCATTGAAGGCAACCAGGCTACAACATCCGTATAAATCTGTGAGTACCCAAGGGGCTAAAACTAATTCTACTAATCTGGGATCATCTGACCATCCCAGAGGGACTCCCACGCAAAAATTTTTTTCTCAAAAAAGTTCGGAGAATGGACTTGAACAAATGGTGACAAAAGTAACCACAAACAACGTCCCATCGGAACCCCCAGTTGCAAAGAGCACTACGGGAAGCTCCACCGTACACACAGACAAAACACCATCCGGAAAGCCCAAAATCCCACCCACGAAAAAAAGTTTGGAAAAAGCTGATGTGCTTAAAACCAGCGACACACATGCAGAACTCGAAAGTATAGAGAATACTGTTAGACTGTTAGCAAAAATCGACGAGCCGAATCGAAAAAGCTCGGAGAAAACCACCGCAAAATTCGAAAGTATAGAGAATACAGATAGACTACCAGCAAAAATAGACGAGGTGAACAGAAAAAGCTTGGAGAACACTGATTTGTTTGATTCTAAACTAACCGACTTAGAACTCGAAAGTAAGGAGAACGCTGCTGGGCACATTACAGACACAGTCGAACCTAACAAAGAAAGTTGGGAGAAATTTAATAGCGGCACGTACAGCGACAGTACAGAACCGTGCGATAACTCCGACAATAATACGAGCGATACATCCAACGAAAGTCTAGATTCCTAGAGCGGACCCGAACTTACTAAATGACCTGGAGAGCAGCAACGAGGACTCCAATAGCCCTGAAAATTTAGATGAGACCATTTTAGAGATGGACCAAGATGAATCCGGGGAAAATTCCCCAAAATTCGAAAAAAATAGTTCAACTTTTTCAACAAAAAAAAAGTATGTGGAAAATCCCACAGAATTTGAATCGGCGTATAAAACGCTTAAGATGTCCAAAATTGTGACTGCCAGGATACTGGATTGCGGACAAGAAGCAACACAGTCCGACGGGAGCACTATTACCCCGGGAACCACCCCTCCGGGCGGTGGTGAAAATATCACCCCAAAATTTACAACAGGAAATAAAGGGCAAATCGCATCACAGATCAGAGACAAAAAAGCAACAACACAAAATAACATAAACAATGCAAACGTGGTAGCAGGCCGGGTAGAGGGTGGATCGAGTAGCTTTCGATTCGGCCTTGCCCCCGCGAATGCAGAGTTTAATGTTAACAGCCCGTATAAAGGAATCTACAACTTCCCCGCACAAAATAAAGGTGCTATCCCAAAAACATACATCCTGGCAAGTGATCCTAGAATACAAATAGGGGTAAGAAGCACGGACCTACCCTCCAACATAGATAGGGGTATTTTCAATTATAACTCGGGAAATGCCACCTCGGAAGAAGAGAAGAGAGACAACGGAGATCCGCAAAGCAAACTACCCCACTCTCCCAACAGTGTGTTCCCACTGAGATCCAAAAACAGCCCTGTTAATTCAATACAAATGGACACCGAAAACACAACTAAAGAGTTGCCATTCGTCACCCCTCGAAAATTTAGCTCAAATTTCGAGAAGCTGATTAGGGAAAAGTCGAGAAAAACCTTGACTACCACAAAAAATAGGTTTCTCCCCTATCATACATACACAAACAGGGAGGAGAAGACTCATGCATTTGTGCTTAGGGGGCTAGCCGAAGGCACAGTAATCGAACAAATAGTAGAAGATCTACAAGAGAAGTATGACATCACAGTAAAATCAATATTCAGAATGAATACTAAAAACCGCCCCTTATATCTAGTCATAACGGACCCAACGTTGACACTGGACTATCTGAATAGAAATGTACGCCGAGTGCTATACACTAGAATTGTTTGGGAACTGCGCAAATCTGTCAAACAGATAGTTCAGTGTCACACGTGCCAACAATGGGGGCACGCGACAGCTAATTGTGGCAGGCAGCCCAAGTGCCTTAAGTGCGCGGGTGATCACCATACAAGTACGTGTCTCAAGACCAGAGACACTCCCGCAACTTGTGTAAACTGCGGCGGTGATCACCCCGCCAACTATACCAAGTGTAAGAGCTACACAGAGCGCATCGAAAGAATGGAATTAAAACGCATACAAAAGCCACAGCAAGTCAAATATGTACCCGCCCCCGCACCGCTGCAGAACCAATGGGAGAACAGAAGAACCAGCAGAAGAGCTGACGATTTTCCTGCACTGCCAACCAGAGAACCCAGACCAATGCCAAGCTCAAGCAAAACTTCTACGATCCCCAGAATGGATAGCCCAAGACAAATGACTCAGGGAACAGTCTCGGCCGATGTCACTTCCTTGAACGAAGCCTTTGCAGAATTAAACAGTCTAGTCAACATAGGTGAGCTTGCTAGAGCGGTAAGACAACTTAACGTACTTATCAGACAATGTAAAAACGGACAAGAACTAATCGAGACTTACAACAATTTCATGTCAAACGTAGACAACAACTTCAATTAAGAACTACACAATCACAAAGACACACTCAAAATTTGTTTTTACAATGCAAATGGGATGCGCAACAAAACATCGATTGTTCGCAGTTTCATTCTCAAACATAAATTTGACATCATCCTCATCACAGAGACACACTACTTACAGACACACACATTCAAAGTAACGGGGTATGATGTCTTAAGACAAGACCGACCAAATCAGGCATGGGGCGGGGTAGCACTATTAATTAAAAGAGAGTTACGTTACGCTAGATTACCTAACTTAAACATTAATCAAGAACATATTATTGCTAAAATAAATAACATCATTTTTGTAGGTTTATATAATCCTCCCAAAAACAGTTTCAAAAAAAGAGAACTTACCACCATCATGGCATTGGGAAATAAAGTCCTAATGTTCGGGGATCTCAACAGTAAACATCAGCATTGGGATGCAAATTGCATCGTATCAAACACAAGTGGAAGAATACTGAATGAATTCGCCGAGAGTGAAGACTGCGTCATTCACTATCCAGAGGAGCCGACGTACTTCCCGTTCAATGGAAGAACGCCAAGCACACTCGACATAGCTATGACAAAAAACATACCAAACGTTGACAACGTAATGACTATTACCACAATGACATCAGATCATGACCCTGTATACATGGAAATAAAATCAACCAGTGATATTACCAGGATACAGGGTCAGTTCTACGACTACAAAAACACGAACTGGCACAGCTACAGAACTATACTTGACGCAAACATAGTAATAAATTCGTAAAACTAACTGACGCCATCAAAATAGCAAGAAACAGGACAATCAAATTAATTAAATACAAATCACATAAAGAAAACCTACCACAAGACATTACGGACTTAATCACATACAAAAACAATGTACGTAAACGATGGCAATCCTACAGACAAGCCGCAGACAGGGTTTTGCTCCTAGAACTTGACAAAGACATCAATTCCAGAATCAATAACGTCAAAAACGCCAAATGGACAGAAACTCTGGAAGCGGTTAACGTACGTGACAATTCGGTGTGGAAGTTTTTGAGAAGGTTCAAAAAACCGTACTCTGAACTTCCAGCACTGAATCACAACAACACAGTGTGCTTGACGGACAATCAAAAAGGCAGCGCTCTCGGCGAATTCTTTCAGAATAATTTCACTAATCCACAAATAAATAATATCAAACAAACACAAATAGAAAGTACCTGTAGAGATATACAGGAAATGAGAACTCAACCAGTACCCCCAGAAAGTCTTACCTCCCCTAAGGAGGTAGCAGACATCATAAGGAGATCCCCGAACAAAAGAGCCCCAGGACCAGATCAAATTCCAAATATATTGCTCAAAAACATGTCAAAAAAGGCCATAGTACAACTGCATTACCTTATAAACGCAACTATGAAATTGCAACACTACCCAGTATCGCAAAAAATTGCTAACATTATTCCCATTCTTAAAAGTGGGAAAAATAAGAAACAAATAGAAAGCTACCGCCCCATATCCTTACTTAACGGAATCTCCAAAATTATCGACCGAATATTACTAAAACGACTACAGACTTACGAATTAGACAAAACAATCATTCCGTCAGAACAGTACGGTTTCAGAGCCGGACACAGCACGGTGGCACAAATCATTAGAATTGCACATAACGCTAAGAAAGCATACAACTCCAAAATGCAAACAGTTCTTGTGGCACTCGATGCTGCGAAGGCGTTTGACACCGTCTGGACTGACGGATTGATACACAAAATGTTTGAGAATGACTACCCTGTTTTCATTGTAAAAACAATGCAAACTTACCTACAAAATAGACAATTCTACATACACATCAAAGAAACATGTAACGGACCATACACAGCGCAAGCGGGGGTACCTCAGGGCTCAGTACTGGCACCCCACCTGTATACCATCATGACCCATGATATGCCAATGGGACAGAATGGTATACAGATGGCCCTATACGCCGACGACACTTGTATATATAAAACATCACATTCAGCAGAAATAGCGCTCAGGAGGCTGGACATTCACGTCAACAGAGTGCTAGTCCCCTATCTCAATGAAAACAAGATTAAAATTAATTCATCAAAAACAGAAAGCTTATTGCTAACAAAGAGTCACAGATAACATCAAAACAAAACTAAAAGTGGAAGAACAAACAATAGAGACAACAAATAAAATGAAATATCTTGGATTCATTTTAGATAGGGGGCTGACATTCAAAAATCACATCACCGACAGAGTTGGCAAAACAACAGGGGCAATAAAGACCATATACCCCATGTTGCATAAAAACAGTGGAGTAACCACGCAAAACAAGCTGTTATTATACAGGCAAGTCCTAAGACCAATTTTAACGTACGGATGTCCAGTCTTCTGCTCGATGGCAAATACACACTATGCAAAATTACAAATCACACAAAACAAGTGTCTTCGGCTAGCGCTGGGGTGCAACCGTTATGCAAGAATCACAGACATTCACGAGCAAGCATCCATGGAACCAATCAAAGAATTCATACTCAGAACTTCAGAGAAATTTTATAAACAATGTCTTCCTACTGCACTTAAGGAAGACGCACTCAGTATTCACCAAGGGGACGGTGTAACCAGGTTACATGGGTGCTTGCATCAAAATTTGACAATCTACAGACGAGACGTGGAATGAGCGCTGCTACTAACACACTCACAGCAGCGAGCATTTCACTGAAAAGCCAAATTACTACGACCACTAGCTAACAACTTTGGTCGGACGGAAGACTGCACGGTGACGTCACGGACTGGACTGAAATTGCGGCTCGCCTCGATTTTGGTATAAGAAGCTGATGAAACCGTGCAGACTCGTAATTTGGCGATTCTCACATTAACGGACAGTGACACACACTCATACAATGACAACCCTGATTTTTGCAAGTAGTTTTTCAGGGAAGACAAAGACAAAATTAAATTCACACAAAACTATAGACGTACATTTCCATTACCGATTTAGCAAGTCAATCAAAATTGTTTCATAATGTTTTACTAAAACAAGGAGGTAACACGTTACTACCATAATACAAATACAACTAGGCAAGAATAAAGGTTATGACATCGACCAGGACCTATCCCAATGGGTCAATTTGGATTGAGGCTTCCAGGATGGGAATCTCAGAAGCAAATTCAAATATATTATTTTTACTTAAGTTGTAATTGACATGTATATATCTATATATAAATAAAGATTTTTAAAAGGAAAAGGAAACCAAGGCCTACAAAAAACATTCCTAACGTCGACAACATACGGACAATAACAATAATGACATCCGACCATGACCCTGTATATCTGGAAATCAAATTCAAAAGTGCGATTCCTAGATTACAGGGACATTTTGACGACTACAAAACAACTAACTGATAAAAATACAGGACAATACTTGACGAAAATATCACAATAACTAACGAAATAAACAATACAGACGCACTAGAGAACAAATTTTGCAAACTAACGAACGCCATCAAACTAGCCAGAGACAGATCCACAAAACTAATAACTCACAAAACCAAGAAAGACATACTCCCCCAAGACATAACAGGACAACAAAATACCCCGGAAAATAGTACAGAAAACCAAGGTACACATAACATAAACACCCCCATCCTAAGCAGAAGTGCTAGTGATGATAAATCCGATGATTACGTAGATGCAGATGACAATGCTAATTCCTTGACGACAAATAACAAATCTAACCCCATAGAACGGGTAGATAACCCCACTCCCCCAGGTATACCGAGTAAAGAGGCACCCATACTCCCTCCAAACAACTCGAGTACCCCAACACCGCAAATGCAACCATTCCAATCGGCCTACGTAGCGGAATCACAGCACCCCACAAAAATTACCATCAAAAGATTGGAAATGCCCACAGGTACCAGGGGTAGAACCCTAAATTTCGGTCCAGGTACTGAACAAAACACCGCGCTGCTAGACAAACGCAATACGGGAGCCATACCTAAAGTATACAGAACCAGATTCCATAGTTTGGAGAACACCAAAACAAAAGACATTGCAGGAATGAAGCCTAACCGAAAGAAGGGTGAACTGAGTAGCCTGGAACTCGGGGAAGCTACATCCCGAAAAGCAATAAACACTTCCGAAGAGTATACTGAACCGCTGGAAAACACCCATAGATTAAAAAATAATAATGATACTACCACAGATGTAAATACAGATATCCCAAGAAACGTCCAGGACTCCATACACAACTTTAACTCCTCAGAGTACACGTCAGAGGAGGAAAAAGGTGCTGCTGGTCCAAACCCTCTGGGTAGATGGCTACTACCAACCTCTCCAAATAGCACCTGGAATCTAAGTGTAAACAACGTACCACAGGAGATGGAAACGGAAGAAAATCAGAACTCAAAAGACACACCCTTCGAAACCCCACGCAAATTCAGCTCTAATTTTCAGAGATTGATACGTGAAAAAACGAAACACACTCTAACAACGACGAGCAATAAATACAATGTCCTTACAGAAGACTCTGATTCCGAATTCGACGATGAAATCGGAAAAATAGTCAAGAGAAAACGGAAAAACACCCCCAAAGAAACACCCAATACGGCTAAAACAGTCGAAAAACCCACCACAAGTGACCCTGCTCCTGCAGCCAATAAAAATAAACCCACAAGCAAAACAACACCGGCCGCCACGAACAACAAAAAAGCCCTAATGCCCCCCATTGTAGTTGACGGGAAAACAGTTAATCAAACGGCACTAATCCAAGACCTCAGAGCAAAAATCAAAGGGGGATTCAGTGTCAAGCACACGAACAGCTCCACCATACTGTTCGTTGATGATAAAGACGATCATCAACGGGTATTGAAAAGCGTCAAAGAGGAAAATATAGCTCACCACACATACACCACGAGTGAAGACAAGTCGCACGCCTTTGTGCTGAGGGGCCTAGCTGAAGGCACGCAAACACAGCACATCGAGGATGACCTGGTGGCCGAATACGATATTAAGGTTCGCAACATATTCAGGATGAACACCAAAAACCGCCCTCTTTATCTAGTTGTCACTGACCCATCTCTGACTCTGGATTATCTCAACAAAAACGCACGAAGAGTGCTATACACCCGCGTAATATGGGAATTGAGGAAGTCCGTTAAAGAGATAATCCAGTGTCACAATTGTCAATTGTGGGGACACGCGACATCTAATTGCGGGAGGCCACCCCGCTGCCTGAAATGTGCTGGGGACCATCACACCCGAACATGCACCAAAAGTCGGGATACAGCCGCCACCTGTGCAAACTGCGGGCTGGACCATCCTGCAAATTATAGTAAGTGCAGATTCTACACAGAAAGACTGGATAGACTGCAAGAAAAAAGAAGCAAAACTACACAAAATAAACCCAAATTCATCCCTGCACAGGCCCCCACCGCAAGTGTATGGGACCGCCGGCGAGCCAGAACCCAAAGCCAGGAAGATTTCCCTGCCCTGCCGGGCAACAGACACAAGAACACCAACGTGAACACTGAGCAGCCGGCTCACAGACGTGAGACTATATCCGCAGCAAGCCACGCCCCCAGCAATCGATCAGCACCAATGAACGACATCCTAGCCCTAAACACCGAATTTCAGCAATTAGGTAAATTGGTTAACATTGGTGAGCTTACCAAAGCCGTTCGCGAATTAAATACCAGGCTTTTACACTGTCAGAATAACGCGGAATTTTTCACCACATACTATGAATTCGTTTCAGATTTAGATAACTACAATTTTAGAAACTGAACTACACGGCGGCAAAACAGACACGCTTAGAATCTGTTTCTACAATGTAAACGGGATGCTTAACAAAAAACCCATGGTAAGCAGTTTCATTCACAAACATAGGTTTGATATTATACTTATTTCAGAAACTAACTTAAAACCCGCCCACAAACTCAAAATTAAAGACTATAACGTTATACGACAGGACAGACTGACACCCAGGGGTGGGGGGATAGCTTTCATCATAAAAAACTCACTTACATTCGAGCTACAGAATAATCTGGATGTGTCCTTCGAACACATGGTAATAAAAATACATAACATTATGATCATAGGTGCATACAATCACCCCACTAACCACCTTACCCCCTTAGAACTTTACTCAATCATGGCGCTGGGTAACAGAGTCCTTCTGATGGGCGATCTCAATGCCAAACATCCCCACTGGGATGCAAATTGCACTGTCCCAAATCATAGCGGGAGAATCCTGGACGGGTTCGCCGAAATGCATGACTATATCATACATTACACGGACGAACCAACACACTACCCCTACAGCGGCCAGACCCCGAGCACACTAGACATAGCCGTGGCCAAAAACCTACCTAATATACAAAACATCACTACAATCAAAACACTGACTTCGGACCACGACCCTGTGTATCTTGAACTAAAATCTAACCACAAAATAATCAGAACACAGGGTAAGTTTCTTGACTACAAAAACACAAACTGGAGACTTTACAGACAAACGCTAGACAGACACATTGAAATAAACAACAACATCGTAAACGAAAACACACTGGACGAGGAAATACAAAAACTAACCACCGCAATTATTAAAGCTAGAGACGCCTCAACTAAAACTAAAACGCATGGACCCTATCAGGACAACTTACCACAAAATATTTTAGACTTAATTTCTAACAAAAACCAAATACGTAGACGCTGGCAGCAACACAGACACGATGATGACAGGGTTCGACTCCACGACATTGGAAAACACATCAACAAACTCATACTTGAACACAGAAATCAAAAGTGGAGAAAAACCCTGGAATCTATCAACACACAGGACAATTCGGTGTGGAAAATTGCGAAGGGCTTCACCAAGCCCTTCTCGCAGCTTCCCACATTGAATTACGACGACAAAGTATGCTCAACTGACAGACAAAAGGGTGAAGCGTTCGGCGAACTCTTCCAAAAAATATTCGAAAATAACACCCCCAATAGTAATGAGCAGCAAAACATCGAAAATACCGTTTTTGACATAACAAATATGGATCGCGACACAGTACCATCCTGCAAACTAACCTCTCCGCGAGAAATCATGGATGTGGTTAAGAGATTGCACAACAGAAGGGCTCCGGGACCAGACTGCATTAGCAACAATCTACTTAAAAATTTCTCACTTAAAGCATTTGTACAAATGCATCATATAACCAACGCAGTGCTCAAACTACAAAAGTACCCCTCTAAACTTAAAATTGCTAACGTCATTCCGATCCTAAAACAAGGCAAAAATGCCAGGGCTGCTGAAAGCTATCGCCCCATCTCATTACTTAACGGAATTGCCAAGATAATCGACCGAATCATATTAAAAAGACTACAGACACACGAAATTGATAACCCGATTATTCCGTCAGAACAATACGGGTTTAGGGCTGGCCACAGCACCGTGGCGCAGGTAGTCAGAATCGCCAATCAAGCGAAAAAAGTGTTCAACAAAAAACAACAAACCATTTTGGTTGCGCTAGATGCTGCAAAAGCCTTCGACACTGTTTGGACTGACGGATTAATCTATAAAATGTTTGTGAAGGATTACCCGGTTTACATTGTGAAAACAATTCTAAGCTACCTACAAAACAGAACTTTCCACATTAAAATAAATGACACCATTACTAGACCATACACTGCCAGAGCGGGTGTACCCCAAGGTTCGGTACTATCGCCCCACCTGTATACCATTATGACCCATGACATACCCATGGGACAAAATGGTATACAGACGGCGTTGTACGCCGACGATACCTGTATCTTCAAATCATCGGTATCAGCCGAAATAGCGATGAGAAGACTGGAGATCCACACTAACAGAACGTTAGTCCCCTATCTGGACAAAAACAAAATTAAAATAAATCCCCTGAAAACAGAGGCGGTGTTACTTACTAAAATGAGGTCTAACCGAATCATAACGGACCTTAAAGTCCAACAAAACCATATAACCACCAAAAATAGTCTAAAGTACCTAGGTATAATACTAGACAGGGGATTGACGTTCAGAAACCATATCCAGGACCGAGTTAACAAAGCTACGTCTATGATACGCATACTCTATCCCATGCTTCATAGGCGTAGCGGAGTTACTCGCAGTAATAAATTATTACTTTACAAACAAATAATCCGACCCATTCTAACGTATGGATCTCCAGTTTACTGCTCTATAGCACATTGCCACATACAACAATTACAGATAGTCCAAAACAGGTGTCTTCGGCTGGCCCTGGGGTATGACCGCTACGCCAGAATCACAGACATGCACCATGAAACATCCATGCCTACTGTCAAAGATTACATTGCAGCTGCAGCTGAGAAATTCTACACACATAGTCTACCGGATAACGTGAAGGAAGACATATTATCTCAGCACAGCGGTAATGCCGGAGACAGGAGGCATGGATGCTTACACGAGAAGCTAGACCTTTACATACGAGACAATTAACAACACACGTATAACACCCTCCTCACTGCGACAAATCCACTAAATAACTATTTTACTAGGACAAGTACTCAAACATGTTAGTCCGGCGGAAGACTGCACGGTGACGTCACTCGCCGGCGAGGAAATCGAGGCTTGCCACGATCCCCTCGCTGGTGATGGATATCACCGTTCAGTCGAGTAAAATAGTTATTCACAGACATAGACTATACAATGACGCACATACAAACAAGGACAACCCTGGTTTTTCCCAAGTTTTTCCCAGGGAGGACAATCACAAGTAAATTCACACAAAAACCGACATTAAAATTCAAATATCGATCGCAAAGCTCACCAATATTGCCTTATAATATCGACAGATAAGGAGATGGCACGTCAAATCACAATTTATAAATTTGGTACCAGGTATTTCGGGCTAGGGCGTCGAGCACTGGCAGCCGGGCACAAGAAGATGCTTCGATTCGTTTCTGCGAGTGTGAAATAAATCTATTTGTGTTTATACCTTATCATATGACATGTATATAGCTATTTATTTTAATAAAGAGATTTTTAACTGAACTGAACTGCGGCTCGCCTCGATTTTGGTACAAGAAGCTGATGAAACCGTGCAGACTCGTAATTTGGCGATTCTCACATTAACGGACAGTGACACACACTCATACAATGACAACCCTGATTTTTGCAAGTAGTTTTTCAGGGAAGACAAAGACAAAATTAAATTCACACAAAACTATAGACGTACATTTCCATTACCAATCAAAATTGTTTCATAATGTTTTACTAAAACAAGGAGGTAACACGTTACTACCATAATACAAATACAACTAGGCAAGAATAAAGGTTATGACATCGACCAGGACCTATCCCAATGGGTCAATTTGGATTGAGGCTTCCAGGATGGGAATCTCAGAAGCAAATTCAAATATATTATTTTTACTTAAGTTGTAATTGACATGTATATATCTATATATAAATAAAGATTTTTAAAAGGAAAAGGAAACCAAGGCCTACAAAAAACATTCCTAACGTCGACAACATACGGACAATAACAATAATGACATCCGACCATGACCCTGTATATCTGGAAATCAAATTCAAAAGTGCGATTCCTAGATTACAGGGACATTTTGACGACTACAAAACAACTAACTGATAAAAATACAGGACAATACTTGACGAAAATATCACAATAACTAACGAAATAAACAATACAGACGCACTAGAGAACAAATTTTGCAAACTAACGAACGCCATCAAACTAGCCAGAGACAGATCCACAAAACTAATAACTCACAAAACCAAGAAAGACATACTCCCCCAAGACATAACAGAACTAATTACATACAAAAACACAATACGTAAACGATGGCAAGCAAACAGGTCAACCGAGGACAGGGTCAGACTCCTAGATCTAGGCAAAGTAATTAACAAAAAAATATTAGATCACAGAAATGCCAAATTGAGAGAGACCCTGGAAGCGGTTAACCTACAGGACAACTCACTGTGGAAAGTTCTGAGTCGGTTCAAAAAG